GTGCAAGACAGAGCAAAAGAGAACTAAGAGCCAGGCCGAGTATGCTCAGCTAGAAACACATAGGAGTTCCTACCTTATGTCCATCTGGCTAAGTACAGGTGCTAAGCCCAGTAAACTAACACTTGAACAAGAGGGGTTGATAAAGGGAACCAGCAATACCAACCTCCTGCCATCGTGGCAGTAAGGTAAGAGTGTCCGTAAGGACTGGTCGACTGGTAACTTTCGATACCCGAAGTCACATTCGCAACAGATAAGGTGTGTTACATATGGTATCAGAGGAAATAGCATGAGTTCGATTCCCATTGATTAGTGGCTACTTAAAAATATAATATACCCTTGAGCAAGGTATATTCCTGCCTCTAAATTTAAAATTATACATATTAGGCATCCATACATATGTCCTTCTTCTTGTGTGGAAGTGCTTGTTACCCTTGGTTCAGTAGGGGTTGTTAGTCAATAGTCAATGAGGACATTGGCATCTCTAAAGGGCGAGTGAGTGTAGCATATATAATCATGGGATGAGATTTGGATATACTATCACCGTGAATCTTTGGAACATTGGGGGATAAATGGGGATAAAATAGCTACTAAAGGTTCTCTCATCAAACAACTACCTTTTTTCCGGTTAGCTTAAAGGGAGAGAGATAAGGTGCGCTACAGTTTTAGGATTCTTCTCTGTTAGTTTTTTTTAATGATAATGTGGCCTTATACTTTACTTGCCGTAAATTTTTTCATAGTTTTAACCATTAGAAATGCCTAAACTTGAATGAGAGTTTGTGTTTCATATTTTTAACATATGAGCAATTTTAAGTGACTCAAAATATAACTTTCTTACCATTAGAATGATGTTTCTGTTAATATGATTTTATTTAAAACATTTTTATTGAAAGCATATAGGCAACAAACAAGTAAAAGAGAGTTAGGCAAGTTAGTGCTTTGGATTTAGTGCTAAACACATAAAAACACATTAATAATTTATTTATTCATTCATTAATGATTTACAGGGTTTTGTGGCACCCACCAAAAAGCATTAGTAAGCTATTTTGATGATTTTGTAAGTCATTCATTCACTAAGCTCCTCCAGGTCTTCTACCACCCCTTTTGTCCCTACCTTTGGCTTCATCAACCTACCTATTGCCCCTTCTAATGCATCTTGGGTTGGACCCTCAACATAATCCTCACCTAGCCATCAGTGTTCACAGTGAGAAGTGTTATTACCCTTGTTCACTTCCAACTCAACTGCAGTGTAATCGTGAGCATGGCATCAATGACTAAGGATTGGCACTTGATCTCCATTTTGTGTAGAAATTCACAAATGTCCTTGACCCAATATTTGCTTGCAAGAATTATATGTAGATCTACACCCCAAGGGACTTGTAATGGAGAATAGGTTGAGCACATGTTGACCACATGCTCAAAGGCAGATATTAAATGACATTTGAGTTCCATTATCAATTTGTGAAACCCTGTTTTTAGCTGGCCAAGATTCTCCAATTGTGGGGGTTAAGGTCGTTATAGATTGTAAAACCAAATTGGCACCTTGAGTTAATGGTGTTTCACATAAATTCCAAAAAGGACATTATCATTCATCCAAGCATTTACATTGCCACAAGGTATTCTATAACATGTAATTGAATGTGAAAATTTTCTGAAAATGGTGATGTGGGATTTAAAATTAGAAAGATGAAATGGATGGAACTCAAATATCAATTATAGAATATAAAAAATTGAACATTAATTAGAGGCTCTCTTATGGAATTCTATACTCTATATGTCTTAGAATATTATGCATAACTATATACTATATGCATGAGATTACCTAATAGGAAAAATGTGTTCTTAATGGTAAATATTTGTTTTATTTTTCCTATGCCTCATAATAGCAAAATTTTCTTAATCCTTTTGAAAGGGAAAGATTTAACCATTGGGAAACTTTAACTCCCCATCTTTAACATTGGTCACCTCTTGGAATTTTTATGGGGTGATATATGTTATTTATGAATTTTGTTGGAGGTAAAACTTTTGGTGTATCAATATAAATGACCATACTAGATGAAATCTTGGGTTGTGCTTAAATTAATCTCAAGTTGACATTTTTTTTCTAGAGGAGAGAAATTTTATTTTTTATTTCTGTTCTTTTGAGGTTATCTAGAATGCAATTGATTTTAGCATAATGGTTATCTCATGTTGATCTAGGGTAGATAAATTGGAAGGGAAGAAAGTAAGTTACTTGTATATTAAGAAATGTTTTTTAAATTTTACCACAGTATCTAAAATGTGTTGAAGATTCCAAGAGAAGCCTAAGATACATGGCATTCAGTTCAACAATCCGAAGAGGAAGCTTAGTTTACTTGGTATTTAAGCTTTATGTAGTAAAAACATACAAGAGCTACATAGATTTATATCTCATACTCACTCTCCTGAATGCATTATCAAAGGGTCAAGGCACAACAAGAAAAATAATATTAACTGCAAACAACATCTAGGATTTAGTTGAGGATAGTGATCTCAAGAAATATTTAAGCCCATCACTAAAGGGCTCATTTCCAATCTAGATTAAAGGAAGCAACAATAAACTTGCAAAGGCAATTAGAATTATCCCATATGAGAATATGTGTCCTACTTTATTTTTAGTTTCTCTTACCTCTTACAATATGTTTGATATATGGAAAATGACTTGGGCATTCATGTAAAAAATTTATATTGAAGTCTACTAAGTGCAACAAGAAGTGACTTAGAGAGTTAGTCAATGAGGAGAACGCCATAACAAAAGTATTAATTTGGAATTGAGCAACTTTTTCATCATGCTCATGGTTGACAAATTTGCTGAAGTTATGTAGCACATTTGCAATGAATCTAGCATCTCGACATTAAATCCATGTGTTACAATTGACTTTGCTAACCTTATAGAGTATTGAGAGGTCAAAAGTAGAAAAGCTAAAGAGTTGGTTATATAGGAAAAGATCACATTATGATTCTCATAAATACCATCAGCTTGAGCATCATTAATGTGCAGAATAGTAAAAGAAACCCTAAAATTGTGATTAGGAAAAGTTCATATGAATGTGCAAACATAACGTGCTGCTTCTTTTCAAACATGATACCTTCTACGAGCTAGCAAATAAAATAATTTGTTACATGTTTGTTAACTAAGAAGCAAGATTAGCCTTGGTTTCTATGGTTTCCTCGAGGAGTTCTCATTTTTATGTGAGATAAATTCTTGCTGACTTGGTCCACATGCTTACATCCTTCCAACAATATCGTGGAAGTCAGATTCTGGGATGTACTCTTTAAACTTGTATCTGCGGGACGAGGCCAAGAAGAAGAGCCAGTTTGCGACGCCCAGCGTGACGAGCAGCCAAAAGAAGTAATCCAAATGCCCATTGTTGAGATCTCGCGGGATCCATCCTTGCTCTCCAGTGATGCTCGACGTGATGCCCACCAGAAATCCGGAAAGAAAACTCCCCACCGAAGCTGAGAGGAACGCCATGGCCGCGCTCAGAGTTCTCAAGTTCTCGGGAGCTTGGTCATAGAGAAACTCGATCAATCCCACGTAGTAGAAAACCTTGGAGCCGCCGACAAGCGCGAACTGGGGGATTTGCCACAAAACGTTAATCTGGTTGCGCTCGTCGTGGAAATTCGCGAGACGTCTTGCTTCCAGCACAGCCGCGCACGCCATAGCCCCGGTCATCACCACAAGCCCTGCTCCCATCCTCTGGAAGAACGTAAAACCGCGCGAGTGTCCTGTAGCTCGACGCATCACCGGGACCAGGACTCGATCGTAGACGACCATCCACACCAAAACGCTGATTGGATCGAACGAGTTGAGCGATGCCGGCGGGACGCGAAAGCCGCCAACTTTTATGTCCATGAGCGCGGCCTGCTCGACGAAGAGCGAGAAAGTTTGCGCTCGCATTGCCTCGTACACCATCGATCCGAGCCACACCAGGAGAATTCCCTCCAAGTCGGAGTGATCACCCTTGTGAGATCCACGCTGCAAGAGCCTCGCGAATGGGTTTCCAGTCAAGCTGGAAGCATATCGATAGAACTTGGCGTTACTGGAGAAAACCGTGATCCCGCAAAGAATCGCCGCCGTGCAAACGAAGAGAGCGCTGCTAAAACCAAGCCTATCTTCGATGTACACCACTCCCACCAGTGCCAGGAGAAGACCCATGGAGGAGCTAAAGTAGTACCAGTTGAAGTACGAGCTCGTCCTCGCGGCCTCGACCGAATCTTTCCCATCAAATTGGTCGGCCCCAAATGCCAGTAGCGGAGCTACAAATCCTTTCCCCAGAGCAATCACATAGAGAGCCACGAAGAACAGCCATGTTGCGTGAACTTCCTTCTCGACGAGCAGGACCGAGAGTGAGAGGAAAGACAATCCGAAGCAATAGATCAAAGAACTGGCCAGAGTTGCCTTGAATCTTCCCAAGTGAGAGTCGGAGATGTAAGCGACGAGTAGCGGGGACAAGTCATGGACGCCATTCCAGATGCTAACTTGGGTGGCGGCCGCCGCGTTGGAGAGGCCGAGCTTGGAGACCATGAAGAGGACCAAATTGTACGAGACGCCATAGAGCGAGAGCGAGCAGCAGAGCATGAAAACGAGCAAGGCCAGCGCAGTGGAGAGGCGAGACCCCCCTGTTTTGGAAGCCACCGCTGGAGATCCATAGAAATCCAAGCTCCCGTCCTGGACGAGCTTCTCCTCTTGTTCGTCCGGGAGTAGCAGAGGATCTCTGAGAGACTTCTCTTCGTCTTCGTCGCCATGGGGACCCATGGACGACTGATGGAGCGCTTGGAAGATCTGCGCTACTTACTTTGATCGCAAGGCTTTGCTGGACAGTTTCTCAGCGCTTTAATCAATATCTTGGTGATGGCCTGGAGGATCCCGCCAAAGGATCTGTATCTTTTCATTATAAATTTTAAAAGGCCCTACCATTGTGCTATAATTGAGATGCCCAACCAGGCAAACATTCTCATCTCTGATCATGCTCGTTCTACGCTTTGTTACAAGAAGAAAATTTATTCGCATCCTTCTAAAAGAATCTTTCCAATGGTAACTTGATGAATAGTAAGTCACATAAATTTACACGATGGCGTGGGGTAACTTACTCGGAGCTGGACTCGTAGAAATCACTTGGAGAGGGAGAGAGCATCATCTCAGATTCCAGCATCTTGACAACGTTGTCCATGGTAGGGCGATCGTCTGGAAGTGGAGCTATACACATTGCCGCGATTTGGAGGACGCACTCCATGCTCTCTCGCGAGCCACCCTCGCATTTGCTATCAAATATCTCCTTTTGCTTGTTCTCCTTGATGAGCGCGTTCACCCATCCCACAACGTTGAGCCCCTTGGCCACGAATCCGGGGTCTGTGGGTCTCTTGCCACTGAGCAGCTCCAAAAGCACCACTCCAAAGCTGTAAACATCGCTCTTCTCGGTCACTCGTCCACTTTGCATGTACTCTAGAATGGAAAAAAAGCTTTAGAACATAAGCGCGAGTTCTTCGTGTTCTTGAGTTACCTGGTGCGAGGTAGCCAAAAGTTCCTGCGACGATCGTTGTCATGTGAGACTGGTTCTCGTTGAGGAGCTTGGCGAGGCCGAAGTCCGAGACGTGCGGCTCGAAGTTGGAGTCGAGAAGGATGTTGCTCGATTTGATGTCTCGGTGGACGATCCGGGGAGAGCAGTCGTGGTGCAAGTATGATATGCCTCTCGCGGATCCAATCGCGGCTTTCATCCGGTGGTTCCAGTTTAAGGATGGCTTGTGTGGCTCTCGTTCTGCAAGGAAAAGGAGATTAGCACTTGCTACTGCTCTCAAAGAATGATTACCATGTAGGAGATCGTCCAAGCTTCCGTGTGATAAGAAGTCGTAGATGAGCAGCCTCGCGGAGCCGGAATTACAGTATCCTCTCAAGTTGACGAGGTTCCTGTGCTTGATGCTTCCCAGGATTTCTAGCTCTCTTTCGAACAAGCGCTCGGAGCCGAATCCACCTTTCGCAATCCTCTTGACAGCGAACATATTGCCGTCGTCCATCACAAGCTTGTATACCGTTCCAAATCCTCCACAACCGATAATGTCGTTCTCTCCCAGCAAGTTGATCTTCTTTACGATGTCTGCCGAGGTGTAAGGAAGATCTCCATGAAACAGCACGAGCTTGGCACCTGTTTAGACCAAAAAAGTGGTTTAGACTTCTTTCTAAGAGAAAATATGGGACTCACTTGAGGCTGACGTTACTTGAGCAAGGTGCTGTTTACTTCCAAACTTGTTGTAGAGAAAAACTCCCCAGAAACACAGGAGAACGAGGAACAACGAGATTGCCACCGTTCCAAGGGCGCTTATCCATAGTCCATTTGAGTAATTGGCGGTTTTCCTTCGAGGAGTAGCCACTACAGTTTGGATGCAAATAGAAATCAGTCAGCAACGACTGGCATGTCAAAAGCTCACCACCATCGCCAGGAGTTAGAGCTGGCGCGAGAAAACTCCGGCAAGTTGTGTTGACTTGAGCACCGCATAATCCCAAGTTGTCAAGAAATCTGTTGCACGAAACGATTAGTGCGTCGAAGCTGCAACACTCCGAAAACTTACGAGTGCTGCGAGAAATTAGAGAGCACTCCGTTACTAGGAATCTCCCCGATAAGGGCGTTTGTGGACACGTTTCTGCCACAAACGTATTAGCTCATGAAAAACAAGTTGAAGAAACTCACAAGAAGACAAGTTGCTTTAGATCACCGAGAACGTCAGGCACTGATCCAGTCAGAGAGTTGCTCGAAACATCTCTACAAATGAGAATCCAACTCGTACCAACATTAAACAGGTTGCAAACTCGATTAGCTTACAGAATTCGTAGACTTGCGAGCTTTCCAAACTCCTTGGGGATTGTTCCACCGAGGTAATTGTTCTTCAAGTATCTACCCGAGGCCGTAAAACCATGGACAGACGAGACTTGGTAAAAACAATGGATAGAGAAAGCAAACGGAAGAACTTACATGGCTCTTAACCGTGTACAATTACCAAGCTCGGAAGGAATGGTACCATAGAAACTGTTGTGGTGAAGAGCTCTAGAAAACATCAGCAGTTACTCCTACATTCTCTTCTTTGGAGAATAGAACTCACAGTCGAGCTAGTCTGTCGAGTTTCCCAAGCTCCGGAGAGATGGTTCCAACAAGTCGCCGGTATGGAAGGTTTCTACCGAAAGGAAAAAAAAATTAACAAAAGAAAGAACTTGAGGAAACGAGAGAGTCTCACTCACAGGCTCTTGACCTTGGTGGTTTGAGGATGGCACGAAACTCCAGTCCATCGGCAAGGGTGTGAATCGCTCTCAATCCAGTCGAGCAGCAGCGCGCCCGCCGAATCGTTGAGGCTCGCCTTGAACGCTAGCAATGCTTGCCCTGCGAATCATCCACGACCATCGATGGCGCTATGGCCTGTGAACCGATACTCTCATCATACCGTCAGGCGAAAGAGCTCCCACGGCACTGGAATGGATCCACAGCGCGGTGAAAAGCGCCGCCAAGACGCGCGATATTACCCTATCTTCTATCTGCCCAAATGGGAGTCATGGTGATGCTAGAGTAGAAATGCTAGAAGGTCTCACCAAAATCTCTCTGCGAGTCATGGCGATTGCGAGGCAATGCGCATTCTAGACGATCAAAGAATAGACGATCGCTCCAGCTATTCTGCAAACAAAGAATCAATCGATCGGTTCAATGCGCGAAAGAAGAAGAAATCGAAGCGAAGGAAAGTGAAATGGTCGAATTGACGCTGCGATGCGATACGATGCGCGAGCTCCTGGTAAATCGCGCAGCTTTTTTACTACTCCGGCGCAACAAAATCGATCGAGACAGAGGGTTTGAAAAAGTAAATGCGAGGTAAAAAGGAGGAGATCATTGGGAGAGATTATTCTAAGAATAATCTCGCAAAGTCGGTCGAAAGGGAGAAATAGATACGTTGGGCAACGACAACGACAGAAGCTCCCAATCTCATATATTTTTACCTCGCCTTATTACGCATAGTTAACACCGTGGACATGACGTGGAACGGACAAATCACAAATCACGTGTTCGTTGTTGCAGTCTTCGGACACGGTGGCGTGCTGTGAGTGGAGGAAAAATTCCACTAACGGGGAGAGGTTTCAGGCTCGATTCCAGGCATCAATCTAGACAGCTAAAACACGTGCCCAATCACGTGCCGTCCACGTGTACCCATCCTCGCCACTGGGGTTGCATTTCTTCCGTGCTTTAATTTTAGGAAATTTTGGAGCGCGCGTCCTCGATCCAGCAGCTCCTTCCGCCGCCCCGCCACATTTCATCGCATCGCAGCGCATCGATAGAGAGGCTCCTCTCGATCGAGAGCATTTCTAGGGATTTCTTGAAGTTTTCGTGTTCCGGAAGGATCGTGTTCTAAGCTCGCGCAGCTTCCTCGAGGCTTCCTCCAAGACGGCGTGCGGCATCACCGCCTACATTCCGCGTCATCGGTGGATGAGCCGCCCTGAGGAATCGGCGGTTGGAAGGTCAACGAGATTGTTTCGTTAGCGGGAGGGATCCCTCTCTTTTATTGCTGGATCGTTTTGGAGTCAGGGTAGCCGTGGAGAAGATCCATCCATCGTTTGGAAAAAGAGAGGCATCGGGCTTTGATCGGGAACATGGGAGTTTGCTTCTCGGTGCCCAAGCGGCGAAAACAGGATCCAGCTACTGGAAATGCGAAATCGCGAGTGAGACCGGCTGGGCACAACAGGAAGAACAACGCAATCCCTCTTGGGCTACGCACAAATTTTGGGTATGGCAGGGACTTTAAGAGCAAGTATAGGATCGGAAAGCTTCTCGGGCACGGTCAATTCGGGTACACTTACTCGGCGGTGGAGCTCATGACTGGAGACAAAGTGGCTGTCAAACGAATCGAGAAGAAGAAGGTGTGTGTGTGTGTGTGTGTGCCTCGATCGCTTGGTTTGATTGCATGTTGATCGCCAATCTCGTTGTCGCAGATGCTACTACCGATTTCCATCGAGGATGTGAAGAGGGAAGTGAAGATACTGGACGCTTTGTCAGGCCACGAGAATGTGGTCCAGTTCCATGCTGCTTTCGAGGACGATGAGTTCGTCTACATCGTCATGGAGCTGTGCGAAGGTGGAGAGCTTCTCGATCGAATTCTAGCAAAGTAAGCTCTCGAGTTGCTGTTTTTCTGCTTGGGCTTATTCCTGCGTTTCTGATCGACAGGAAGGAAGGGAGATACACGGAAAAAGACGCGGCGGTTATTGTCAGGCAAATGCTGAGAGTTGTTGCTCGCTGCCACTTAAACGGTGTCGTCCATCGTGATTTAAAGCCAGAGGTAAGCAATTCTGCCATGCGTCGAGAGATTGATCGAGAAAACACTTAACTTTTTTCCAGAACTTCTTGTTCAAGTCCCAGCAAGACGACTCTCTTCTCAGAGCCGTAGATTTTGGCTTATCGGACTTTATCAGGCCTGGTAAGCACCACGCATTGCTCTACATCAATTCAGCTGTTCTCCACCTTGTCTCACAGGAAAGAGATTCCATGATGTTGTTGGAAGCGCGTACTATGTAGCACCCGAAGTACTGAAAAGAAAGTCTGGGCCAGAGTCCGATGTTTGGAGTGTAGGTGTCATCACATACATATTGCTATGTGGACGGCGACCTTTCTGGGACAAGACGGAAGCTGGAATCTTCAATGAGGTACGCAACCTTTCGCTTCTAGCTACGATAACGTTTTATTCTTCTCAACTCCAGGTGCTGAAAAGAAAACCTGATCTTCGAGAAAGGCCATGGCCATCCATTGGCTCAAGTGCCAAAGATTTTGTAAGGAAGCTCCTTGTGAAAGATCCCCGTGCCAGATTAACTGCTGCGCAGGCTTTATGTAAGTAGTTTCTCGGTCCGTTTGCGTTGGATGGTTTTCTCATTTGGATTCTTGTGCGCCTTACAGCTCATCCTTGGGTACGTGAAGGAGGCGACGCTCTGGAAATCCCGCTGGACATCTCTGTACTTTCGAACATGAGGGAGTTTGTGAAATACAGCCGGCTGAAGCAACTTGCCTTTCGTGTAAGTTAATCGAACGCGTTGTTCTTTCTGGACGTCATTTTGATGCTTGCTCTCCAGGCTCTGGCTACTACACTCGATCCAGAGGACATAGCAGCTTTGCGTGACCAATTCGACGCTATCGATGCCGATAAAAGCGGGAGTATATCACTAGAGGAGATGAAACAGGTATGTTTTCTTTTTCGCTTTCTTTCTGGTGTGGCGAGGACCAATTCGAATCGTGACTTTCTTGACTAGGCTCTAGCCAAAGACCGTCCCTGGGACCTGAAAGAATCAATGGTCATGGAGATCCTACAAGCTGTGAGTAGCACAAGACCCGCGTTGAGAGAATGTTTTTGTATTGAAATTGACCCGGCGCTGGTTTTGTTTTGCTACAGATGGACTGTAACTGCGACGGCCTTGTCGATTTCGAAGAGTTCGTGGCAGCAACGCTGCACGTTCATCAGCTGGAGGATATGGGCTCCGATAAGTGGCAGAAGCGTTCCAAGGCCGCGTTTGACCAGCTCGACGTCGACGGAGACGGCTACATTACGTCAGAAGAACTCAAGCAGGTATGTTCCGCGAAGAACCACGACTTTGGTCCGTCGACAATCGACGAATCTCTCAACCCGAAACTTGGCTTGCAGTACACGGGGTTGAAAGGGTCGCTTGGCACGCTCTTGGAGGAGGGAGATATCGATGGAGACGGGAGGATCAGCTTGGCCGAGTTCCAAAAGCTACTCCGGCAAGCAAGTTTGGGATCACGAAACTAACAGTAAGGTCAGGAAGAATCCTTTCCTTGGCCGCATTCTTTTTGGGTAGTGTATAGACTGAGGGACAGGCCCACGCTACTCGCAGCAGCAACAAAGCTGGTGTACAAACCAAAGGTTTTTACTTTTTTGTCAAATTGTACAAAGAACGGGGACCATTTTTCCCATGTAAAACTTTCGCTGGTTACAAAGAGAAACAGTGGAACAAGAAAAATAAAGCCGAGTTTTTCTTGTCATGGTTTTACTTGCTCTCGGATAAAAGTTTGGACCTCGCCAACCTTGCCGGTGATCACGGAAGTTTCGACCATGGTAACTTTGTTAACGCAGTGAGAGAACTTGAATGGCTCGCCATCGATGCCCGGCTTGATTTCGGCCGCAACGTCGGAGCCTTCGAGTGTTGTCCGGGTTACTCGCAGCTTGTCCCTGGAATTTGGGAAACGAAGAGAATCTAAGATAAACTTGACTTGGAATGAAGTTTTTTAGAACTTACAGCTCCTTTTCCAATTGCTTCCGGATGAAATCGACCGAGTGAGCCGTGACTTTGTCACACTTGTTACACACAATCAGCACCGGGAGTTTTCGCTTCACAACCAGTGGCTTGGAAAGTACCTCGTAGAGATATCTACACGAGAAAAAGGAGAAGTTTTTATCGACTAGGAGTGTGTCACAAGTTACTTACTCGGCAGTGGATCGGACATTTGGAACAAAGTCTAGAGCGTCAACCATGAAGAGAATACCTTGAGCTTTTGGAAGATAGTCATCAAGAAGCGGCCTTAGCTTAGGATGTCCCGGCAGATCAACAACGTGAACTGGTTTGATCTTTCCACTCTGAAAAGGAAAGAAGAGAAGAAGGAAAGCTTAGGTTTTGCAAGTTCTTGCTAGAATTTCTACCTTGGAAATCTCCGAGTGGAGAAGGAAAGTGTCTTCGTTTGGCACCATTGATGTAACAGTTCCTTCGTAGAGCGATGAATCACGAAGCTGTGAAAACCACCAGAACAAGTCTATAATCGTCTAGAAAAAAGTTTCGAAGGAGAATTTACCTGGTAGAAGAGCGCAGTCTTTCCAGATCCACTAAGCCCCAGAATCACGATCGTGTTGCGCTTCTTCCGCCTGAGCGACGCCACCAGCACTGATCAAACCGAGTAAAGAGTTCTTTCGGATTCACAAAAGAAATTTTTGGCAAGATCGCAGCATACCCGAGACAAGAAGCAAGAGTGTGACAAGAAACACCGCCGCAGTAGTGTAGAGTGCCGTGTCCGCAGAGAAACGCCGCAGCTCCACCTGCGCCATAGCTGGAAGGAGAAAGAAAACCCTAGTCTATCCGACGTGGCCGAGACAGGAATATGCTAAAACGCCATTTGGAATATTCTCTGTATTCAAAGTCTTCAGCCAGTTGCCATGTATGATCGTTGGTGTCCCATTTTGACTCACCATCTCTTTGATATGGTCCCACTTAATACACGTCTTTAATACGCGTCTTTCCCTTGAGATTGGATGTATAAATCCAGAAGCAGTACCTCAATCTTGCTTGCATCTTGTATGATTCATTATCATGGCAAAGAAGCAAAAGTTTGTGTCACTAGCTACTATCTTGGCGATCATATTGACCATGGTTGATCTCCAAGCGAGAGCTTCAATCTCAGTTCACAAGGGCAACCTTGCGGATCTCTCATGCTTCACCGCCATCTTGAGCATGAATGGCGACGCCTCGCACAAATCCAACTGGTGGCAGTTCCTCCAGTACTTGCAATCCAGCAGCGACCAGGCCTTCCTGGGGTACATGGTCTCCAACTTCACTGGCCAGAGCAATCTCACAGCGGAGATCCGCGAGAAAGGGGGACTCCTGTCCACCAGGAACGCTTCCCTCATGGAATTCCACTCGGTCTCCAAGATCAATAAGCTGGGAAGCATGGAGATCACGATGTGGGCTTTGGGATTCCTCTGCCTGGATGAGGCTCCAAGCTGCGTCAAGTTCACACCCGTGGTGCTCCAAGCGATCCCTGGTTCTTCCCCAAGCAAGTTGGGGTTTTTCAGCTTGTGGGAAGAGCAGGACGGCGGGATCCTGGCGAACTCGGTCGCGTCCAAAGTGCTGACCCTCGAGAATTGGAGCATGAGCAAGGAGAGTTTGAGTGGAATGAATCTGAGAAGCCTCGACGCCAAGCTCGATCTCTGCAAAGGCTTGGAACTTCATCCAGCGCATGACAGGAGCAACCAGGAATTATTGGGAGGTCTTGATCTGCAGAGCTTCGACGTGAAAACAGCCCCGGAAGCCGCGGGATTCAGGCTCAACGAGAGGGTGACAAACATCACTCGACCAAACAGGCGCTTGTGTTTGCTGGGGATCGATGACAACACCACCGGATCATCTTTGGATTCCTCGTTGTCCTTCGACTTGCGAACCACGACGACACTGGTAGAAATCCTGGGCTCTTTTATGTCTCAAGTCAAGAATTCTTACATCCAAGCACAGAGCTCGGCGCTAGATCTCGAGCATCCCGGCACCGATTTCTGGGTGGCCGCGGTCGCGCTCCCCGGCGCATTCATCGCGGTCGTAGCTGCGGCGCAGCCTTTCATCAACTTCCAGCTCACGTTCTTCCGAAACTTGGTGAGATCACAGGGCTGGAAAACGGCCGTTCTGTGTGTCAGTAACTCCGTGCTCGCTCTCGGCTCGTACTCGGCGATCATCACCGTGACCCCATCCGAGATCCAGAGGCAGGAGAGACTGAGGACCTGGGGATTGCTTGCAGACCAGGTTCCAATCACGAACCGTGGCCTCCAAGTTTTGGTAGTGGTCAAGGGGGAATCAAGTTACAGATCGGACAGCCTCTTGCTTGTGTGGTGTTCCACCGCCGTGCTTGTTCCTGTCATCGCCTGGATGACGTTTTACAGGTGCAAGCAAGTGTTTACGTGAGGAGGATGCTCAAACTCTTGGCTGAGCTGGAGCCTGAACGCCACGACGCCGACGAAAGCAATGACGAGAGACTTGATGACCTGCGAGCCATTGAGATGGGTTCCGTGGAGCAGCGGCAACTCGAGAAGAGGCTTGCAAAGATGAACGCCATGCCTGGGACGAGCATGGTGACATCTGTTAAATCACTGGCTCGCCAAAGACAATCCTTAACACGTAGGCATTCATGCACGAGGCAAAATGCGTAACATCGAAATCTAACTTGTAAAATATTCTTCAAGCTCCTACCCTCTCCAAATTCTTTAAACGGCTTCTACAACTGCTGTGGAATCTGCTAACCACCAACTGAATGTGGTATTTGCTACTGTGCTGAACGCTGGTACGACTGTTGAACTAGACCTTTTGACTTCAGAAAAACGAATGCATTTTCATCCAAAGGCCACTACATTTGCTGGGCAGTACTAATTATAATTTCTCAGATTGTGCCGCTGTGCCATGGCTGTATTTTTATGACTTCAAAATTGATTTTTCTCTCTTCAGATCTGATTATCTTCCCTAAAAAATTGATTTCTCATTAGGGTAACGTAATTGTGATGGCTTTCCCGCCGCGCCATATGCATATCCATCCGCCAGATGAAGTGGGATTGGAGGAGGCAACGTTAATCAAAAGGGGAAGAGCGGTCAGCGCCGTGCCAGGGGATCTAGCTGATATAAGGGCGTTTGCAACATGAGCTGTAGGTAAGGGTTTGTTTGTGCTGGTCTGTTTGCCTTCTTTCCTGACTATCTTATGATACAATGCCCCAAGTGCCTCAGGAGGGGCTACCGAATTTGGTGCCCTTCTCGGATGTGGTTTGCGACTTCACGCTTCCGTTCAGAGGTCGAGACGGCCTCGTGCAAAAGCTTGCAGAGACGATTGACGACCTTCACAACTTTCGCATCTAGCGGGATTAGCAGAGAGCAGGCACTCTTCGTCACTTTGGAGGGCCTTGCTGGAGTGGGGAAGACTCGATTTCTTTTAGAGACCAAGGAGCGTGTTGGAGAGGCACTTAAAGGTAGGGCATCAGCATTGCAGGAGCTTCATCGTGTTGGAGCTACAGCAGCGGTGTACATCACCTTCAGTGGCTCGGCTGTTGGCCATTCATCACCTCATCTTCTGCATCCGGCTTTTGTGGCAATCTGTAAGGAGAGAGGTGGTTACCGTTCTGGCCGGGATGCATCACGAAGCTGTGAAAACCACCAGAACAAGTCTATAATCGTCTAGAAAATAGTTTCGAAGGAGAATTTACCTGGTAGAAGAGCGCAGTCTTTCCAGATCCACTAAGCCCCAGAATCACGATCGTGTTGCGCTTCTTCCGCCTGAGCGACGCCACCAGCACTGATCAAACCGAGTAAAGAGTTCTTTCGGATTCACAAAAGAAATTCTTGGCAAGATCGCAGCATACCCGAGACAAGAAGCAAGAGCGTGACAAGAAACACCGCCGCAGTAGTGTAGAGTGCCGTGTCCGCAGAGAAACGCCGCAGCTCCACCTGCGCCATAGCTAGTCTATCCGACGTGGCCCAGAAAGGAATATGCTAAAACGCCATTTGGAATATTCTCGGTATTCAAAGTCTTCAGCCGCCTTCCAGTTGCCATGTATGATCGTTGGTGTCCCATTTTGACTCACCATCTCTTTGATATGGTCCCACATAATACACGTCTTTCCCTTGAGATTGGATGTATAAATCCAGAAGCAGTACCTCAAATCCTTCTTGCATCTTGTATGATTCACTATCATGGCAAAGAAGCAAAAGTTTGTGTCACTAGCCACTATCTTGGCGATCATATTGACCATGGTTGATCTCCAAGCGAGAGCTTCAATCTCAGTTCACAAGGGCAACCTTGCGGATCTCTCATGCTTCAGCGCCATCTTGAGCATGA